GCGTGTGTGTGAGCGTGGGCAGGGCTGCCGGCCGCCATCTTGGCTGGCAGTTAATTTGCATATCGCCCTGATTAGCCAATGGGAAGGGTAGCAGAGGTATGGCTAATTACCATGTTTCTCTTTTATTAGATAGGATTCTTTCTTTTATTCTGCTTACTTTGGTTTAATTTACTCTTTTTATTTTTTCCTGAGGTAGATGCTTTCATTATTGATTATAGATCATTCCTTTTTCTAGTATATTTGTTTAATGGACTAAATTTCCCTGTAGGCACCACTTTTGCTATATCTCACAAAGTTTGATTGTGATGTACTTCTATTTTATTTGGTTCAAAATAATTTTTTGTTTCTCCAGAAATTTCTTCCTTGATCCTCCTAAATGTTACTTATAAATGTGTGATTGAATCTCCACATATTTGGGGCATTACCGATTATCTTTCTGTTGCTGATTTCTAGATTAATTCCTGTGTGACCTAAGAGCATATTTTGTCTGATTTCTGTTCTTCCATATTAAGGTGTGCTTTATGTCCCAGGACCTCTTGTGTCTTGGTTAATGTTCCATGCGAACTTGAAAAGAATGTGTATTCTGCTGTTGTGGCATGAAGTATTCCACAGATTATAGCTAAATTCAGTTGTTTCATAGTGCTGCTCAGTTCCACTCTGTTCTTGATATTCTGCTACTGGAATTTATAATTCATGATAAGGGGATATTGAATTCTTTAGCCACAGTAGTGGATTCATGTATTTCTCCTGCATTCTATCAACTCTTGCCTTATGTAGTTTGACCCAGGTTCATACACCTAAAGGATGGCTGTGCCTTCTTGGAGGTGGGCCCCTTAGTCATTATGTAATGTCCCTCTTTATCTCTGAGTTTTCCTTGGTTTGAAGTCTATATTGTCTATAATTCATATGTCTGTCCTTTGATTTCTGTTGGTATGGTCTACTTTTCTTCATTCCTTTGCCTTTCTTTTATCTCTCTGTGTCTTCATATTTAAAGTGTGTTTCTTATAGAAAACAAATCTGATATTACTCTTTCAATGGTATTGAAAGCATTGATAATTTAAGTGGTTATTGATACAATTGGGTTAATATTTGCCAAACCTTAACTGTTTTCTATTTGTTGCCCTTGTTTATTGTGTACATCTTCAATCATTTTCTGCCTCCTTTAGCTTTAATTGAGGATTTTTCTAATTGTTTTTTCTCCTCTTTCAGAAAAGCAGTCACATTTAAAAAAAAAACTTTTTTATTCATTTCCCTTGAGTTTTGAGTATACATTTACAGCCAACCCACACCCTCGGTCAAGTCACACTGTACCACTTCACTGTTTGTGCAAGTACCTTCTACCACACTATTCCCAATTCCCCCATCACTATCCCTTGTCACATTATTGTCATTTATTTCCATTACCCATGAGCTTATACTACTTAACACATTGCTAATATTTTAAGTACAGAAGATTTTTACCTCCATTTATTTCTTTTTATTTTATTTTTAATCCTCCACCTTTTATCATTTATATCTTTGTGATGAATTTTTGAATGTTCCATTTAAAGTAGGGGTACTAGTGACTAATCCCCTCAATTTTTGTCTCAAGAAATTACTTATTCTTTATTTTTGAAAGATTATTGTCCTTGATACAAAATTCTGCAGAGTGTTTTGTCAATTTCAAAATGTTCAATATTTTACGACAGTCTGTTCTTACTTACATGGTTTCTAAAATAAGTTGAATTTAACTCAGATCTTTGTTTCTGCATACCTAAGATCTGTTTTCACTTCTGGCTTCTTTCAATATATTCCCTTTGTCTTTGATTTTTGTCTAACTTGAATATGATATACTTGGGTGGATATTTTTCGTGTTTTAGAGCTTTCTTGATCCACGGTGTATTATCTATTCTTAATTTTAGGAAATTTCAGTGATTATTACTCCACTTACCTGCTGTTTCTTTCTGTCTTTTTTTTTTTTTTTTCAGGTATTCCCATTACGAGTATTTCAATGCTCATATTAAGGAAGGTTGTTTTAGGCTTCATGGATATTGTGTTCTGTTTGTCTTATTCTTCGTTGTCTTTGCATAGACTCTGGTGAAATGGAATTTTTTTAAGTACAGACCTCATTGAAAACAGAATGTTTGGGGCATAGTTCAAATACCATCTTTTCTCTTTCCTAATTTTGAAAATACCATTTCCCCAGTGAGCTCAAGGATCTGGTGGATCTAAGAAGAGTAGTTTATTTCAAGTTATTGTCTTTTTCATGTTGTTGTTGTTGTTAATCTTCACCCAAGGATATTTTTTTCCATTGGTTTTTTAGAGAGAGTGGAAGGAAGGAAGGAGAGGGAGGGAGGGAGAGGAAGAGAGAAATATCAATGTGAGGGAGAGACATCAATTAACTGCCTCCCACCCTGACCAGGGCCCAGGATCGAATCTGCAACCCAGGTATGTGTCCTTGACCGGGAATCAAACCTGAGACCCTTAGGTGCTCTGGCTGGTGTTCTTACCACTGAGCAACACAGGCCAGGACACTTTTTTTTTTAATGAGATCGAATATGACAGCTATTAAGTTCCTTAAGTGCCAGAAGATGGTGGGCAGCCTCCAGACTGACTTATCAGAAAATTTTTTTCTCCTAAAATTGGAGAATGGAAATTTTGTGTGCTTTTAGTAATCCTCACCTGAGGATATTTTTCCATTGATTTTTAGAGAGAGTGGAAGGAAGAGGGAGAGACAGACTGAGAAACAGATGACACATTAATTGGTTGCCTCTTGCAACTAACCTGACTAGGGCGGGGATTGTGCCTGCAACTGAGGTACATGCCCTTGACCAGAATCGAACCCATAACCCTTCAGTCTATGGACTGGAACTCTATCCACTGAGCCAAACTGGCTAGGGAAATTTTGTGTTCTTTTAGAGGAAAGCACTGTTCCTTTAGGTATTCTAAAATCATAGGCAAATTCATCATCAAATGCTGTGGACTTAAATGAATTCCCATACAAGCTACAGCTTTTAACCTCTTCCTCAAAGGCAGAAGGTTCCAGGGAACACTGTTAGGAGTTGACCAGATAAAGCTCCTATGGCCCATTCTCTCACTATGTGTTCTAAACTTTGGCTGCAAGCAGTCCTGAGCACATGACTATAGGGGTTTTGTGGTCTAACTCTTCACGCCTTCTTCCTTGTGTCTGAGCTCTAAATTCCAAATAACTCTCCAGCCCCATTAAACTAAACAGAGAGAGAAGGAAGCACTGAGTCTGTGATAAATACTACACAAGTTACAATGCTTCTGCACAAACATATTTACCCTGAGCCAGCTGCCCCTGATTAGGGTAAAGACCTGGAGGACTTTAGGACACATGGTCAGCTGGCTTTGTTGGAAGTGATTTTCATGGACCTCCTGGACTCCCATGTTTGGTGATGGGATGAGAAGGAAAAACTTCCAGTTCTTCACTATGTTTTATTTACTAAGACCTCATGCAGATTTAAGCCTCTACATCGTGGAGTGCTGAAAATGGTGGGTAATAAAGAAAATGAAAGAATTTTTCTCACAAGGAATTCATGGTCTTAAATGATAATATTTGCTGGGGGACGAGGGTGGCCAGGGAGAGGTCAATGGGGGGAAAGGAGAAATATGTAATAATATATGTAATATTTTAAACAGCCAAAACCGGTTTGGCTCAGTGGATAGAGCGTCAGCCTGCGGACAGAAAGGTCTCAGGTTCGATTCCGGTCAAGGGCATGTACCTGGGTTGTGAGCACATCCCCAGTAGGAGATGTGCAGGAGGCAGCTGATCGATGTTTCTCACTCTCTATCTCTCTCCCTTCCTCTCTGTAAAAAATCAATAAAAATATATTTTAAAAAAATATTTTAAACAATAAAGAATTTTTTTAAATGATATTTGTTTCATTTGAATAGCATTTCTGTCATTTCCAAACATTCTGTGAATCCTGTCATTAGGGGAAAAAATGTAATGTGATCACAGTAACAATGTGTAAGTCATTTCCATGTGTCCATGATCGTGTTAAATTTATGAGAAAGTAAGTATGAACAGAGAGTACATTTCTTTTTTTAATTTTGTTTTATTGCTTAAAGTATTACAAAGAGTATTACATATGTCTCCTTTTTTTCCCCCCTTGACCTTCCCCCGGCCTCTCCTACCACCCAGTGTCTTGTGTCCATTGGTTATATCAGAGAGTACATTTCTGATGATCAAGTTATAAGAATAATATTTAGAGACAAGAGAATCATATGTAATCTTCCTATAAATCGAGTCTGGATGTCCAGTGGTGTCAGTCTCACACATCAACTCTACACATGTTGGGAGGTTTTAGGACTCAGTGGCCTTTGAGGACGTGGCTGTGAACTTCACTCTGGAGGAGTGGGCCTTACTGCAGCCTTCACAGAAGCTCTACAGAGATGTGATGAGGGAAACCTTCAGGAACCTGGCCTCCATAGGTAAGGAGGACATTCTTTCATTTGTCAATTACAGAATAAGTGTTTCTTGCTCATCAGCATTGCTCTAAGATGTGTAATGTGAAAAGGGAAGACATTGGTAAATTAATTTGGCCTGGTCACAGCTTATCATAAATCTAGAAGCTAATTATTTTTCTATACTATGAATTCTTTGGACTCATTTTCTGGGTCTGAATTTTAGGAAAAATATGGGAAGAACATGACATTGAAAATCACTACAAAAACCAGGGGAGAAAACTAAGGTGAGTTGGACAATAGAAAGAAGAATTCTAGTATATTATGAAATTTTTTAAAGAAGCAAACAAAACTAATAAACTCTGCTTTAAATGTCTTCTTAGAAAATTTGTACCAAAAATTCTTTATCAAATGTACCATATATGTTCAGTGTTTGCAAAATAATTCACTTGGAAACTGTATTAATAAGCTATATATATGCATATATATCACAGTTTGATAATAGCAAGGGTGAAGACTTCTTAGAAAACTCTCAGTATTTTTAATTTCAGATAATACAGAATACCTATACTTTTCCTATAAATCATAATAAATATAATTAATATAAAATCATTAATGAAGAAGCATTGCCCTGGCCAATGTTGCTTAGTGGTTAGAATGTGGGCCTAGGCACCAAAGGGCCATGGCTTTGATTCCTGGTCAAGGCCACATACTTGGGTTTCAGGTTCGCTCCCTGCCCCCCATGAGGATTAATCAAAAATAATAATAATTATTAATACTGTACTTTTCATTGTTTACAGGAGTCAAATGGTAGAGAAAGTAAAGAGAGTAGTCAATGTGGAGAAAACTTCAGCCTTATTTCAAATCTCAGTCTGAACAACAAAACTACTGGAGTGAAACCATGTGAATGCAGTGTGTGTGGAGGAGTCTTCATGCATCATTTTTCCCTTAACAGGCACATCAGATATCACACTAGACACAAAGCGTATGAATTTCAAAAATATGGAGAGAAGCCTTATAAGTTCAAAGAATGTGGTAAAGCCTTCAGTTATCTCCAGTATTTTGAAAAACATGAAATAAATCACCGTGTAGAGAAAAGCTATAAACATAAGGAATGTGGGAAAGCCTTTAGTTGTCCATGTTCACTTCAATGACATGGAATAACGGTCCCTGGAGACAACCCCTAGGTGTGTAAACACTGTGGTAAAGCCTACACATCTTACAGCTTCTTACTGAGACACAAAAGGATTCATGCAGGAGAGAAGCCCTATGTACGTAAAATATGTGGTCAAACCTTCTATTGCTTTAGTCATGTTCAAGCACATGAAAGAACTCACACTGGAGAGAAACCCTGTGAGTGTAAACAATGTGGCAAAGCCTACAGAGATCCCAGTTCCTTAAAAACCCACAAAAGAATTCACACCGGAGAGAAACCCTATGAATGTAAAATCTGTAGCAAAGCATTCACGTATCCCAGTTCTCTTCAAAAACATAAAAGGACACATACTGGAGAGAAGCCCTATGAATGTAAAGTATGTGGTAAAGCCTTTAGTTCTTCCAGTCAAGTTCAAGTGCATGGAAGAACTCACACTGGAGAAAAACCCTATGAATGTAACACATGCGGTAAAGCCTTCAGCTCTTCCAGTTATGTTCAAATACATGAAAGAATTCACACTGAGTGAAACCCTATAAGTGTAAAATCTGTAGCAAAGCATTCACATATCCCACTTCTCTTCAAAAGCATAAAAGGACACATACTGGAGAGAAACCCTATGAATGCAAACAATGTGATAAAGTCTTCAAATTTTATAGTTCCTTGCACATACACAAAAATACTCACACAGGACAGAAACCTTGTGAATGTAAGCAATGTGGTAAAGCTTTCAGAGATCACAGTTATGTCCAAAAACTTGAGAGAACACATACTGGAGAGAACCCCTATGAATATAAACAGTGTGGGGAAGCCTTCCGTTTTCATGAGGATTTCCAGATGCATAAAGGAACTCACACTGCAGAGACATTATGAATGTAAGATGTGTGGTGACATTCAGGTGTTCCATTGGTCTTGGAATACATGAAAAAACTCACAGGCAAAAACCCTATGAATGTTAACAATGAAGTTAAAGCCTACAGTTCCTTAAAAACATGTGAAAGAACTGGAGAGAAACCTTGTGAGTATGAGGAGCATGGAGAAGTCTGATGACATAACAGTACCTTTCAGAGAGGTACAAAAGGATTCAGTCTAGAGAAAAACCCTGTGAATGTAAGTAATTTGGAAAGTCATTCAGATATTAACAAGTTTTTAGATCCATGATATGAACCCTGGAGAGAAATCATATGTATTTTTAAGATGTAGTAGTAAAGCATTCAGTTGCCTTAGTTATCATTGAAAACATGAAAGAAATCTCGCTGGAGAGAAACCCTTTGAATGTAAACAATGTGCTAAAGCCTACAGAGATCACAGTTCCTTCAAAACATGCAAAAGAACTCACCCTGGAGAGAAGCCCCATGAATGTAAGAGATACAGAAAAGCCTTCATTGATCATAACTTTTAGAAAACCATATAAAAGTGAAGAATGTGGGGAAGGCTTCCATTATTCCAGTTCCTATCAAAAGCATAAAATGACTCACTGATTAAAACTCCTTGAATGTAAACACAATGGGAAACATTTTAATTGATCCACATTCTTAACATGTGAAAACTCCTATGGAAGACAAACAGAAATGTAAGTAACATAAGAAAGCTTGATAGAAATTAACCTCAGCCATAAAAAAAGAATGAAATATTGCCATTTGTGGCAACATTGATGGACCTAGAGGGTGCTATGTTAAGTGAAATAAGTCAGAGAAAGACAAATACCATATGATTTCATTTATATGTGGAATCGAAAACACAAAATAAATGAACAAACAAATTCATGGATACAGAGAACAAATTCATGGTTGCCAGATGGGAGGGGGTTTGGGAGAATTGGTGGAAAAGGTGAAGGGATTAAGAACAAATTGCCAATTACAGATATAGTCACAGGATATAACACACAGCATAAGGAATGTAGTCAATAATATTATAATAACTATGTATGGTGTCAGATGGGTATTATACCTATTGGGATGCGCACTTTGCAAGTTATATAAACGTCTTATCACTATGTTGTACACATGAATCTAATATAATATTGTATGTCAACTGTAACTGAAAATTTTTCTGAAAACTTTTTTTTGGTTATTCTTTACCTGAGCGTATTTTTATCATTGATTTTTAGAGAGAGTAGAAGGGAGGGAGAGAGACAGAGAGAGAAACATCAATGTAAGAGAGACACATGGGATTGGTTGCCTGCTTCATGCACCCCGACCAGGGCCAGGAATTGAGCCTGCAGCCGAGGTACATGCCCTTGACCAGAACTGAACTCAGGACCCTTCAGTCCTCAGGCTGAAGCTCTATCCTCTGAGCCAAACTGGCCAGGGCTTTAAAATTTTTTCAAAGATGAATAAAGTTCTGACATCAGTTTCCCAATGTCAGTGTACTGCTCACTACAGCATTGCACACCTAACATATAAACTTTAGCCCTGGCCAGTGTTTATCAGTGGTTAGAGCATCGGCCCACACACCAAAGGGTTGAGGGTTCTGTTCCCTGTTAAGAGCACTTACCTGGGTTGCAGGTTCAATCCCTGGCCTCAGTCAGGACACGTGCAGGAGGCAAACAATCCATATGAGACACACTGATATTTCTCTCTCTCCCCCTCCTCCTCCCTGCCTTTCTCCTTTCCACTCTCTGAAAATCAATGGAAAAAACATCCTCAGGTGAGAATTAACAAAATAAAATTTTTAAGATGTAAATTTTATACTATGTGTATATTACCACAATTAAAACTAAAATTTTTAAAGCAATTCACTGAGTGGGAGAAAAAATTGCAAATCATATATCTGATAGGGATTTGTATCCAAAATATGTAACAAACTCTTACAACTCAATTTTTTAAAAATAACCAAATTATAAAACATTAAAGGATGCAAATAGACATTTTCCCAAGGAAGATATATAAATGGCCAAGAGCACATGAAAAAAAGCTGGACACCATTAGTACTCAAGGACATTTAAATCAAAACCCCAGTGGGATACCATGTCACAACCACTAGGATGGCTAGAATAAAAAAGTGAAATAAGTTTTGTCAAGGACATGAAAAAGTCAGAACCCTCATCCACTGCTGATGGGAATATAAAATTGTGCAGCTACATTAGAAAACAGTGTGGCCGCTTTATTCTAGGGATGCAAGAGTTGAAGATCCTTATGGACCACGACTTTGTCTTTTTCATCACTGTATCCCTCACACCTGAATCTGTACCTGGCACATTAAAGATGCTCCAATCTTTTTTTAAAAAAAGAAATAGAAAACTGTGGCAGTTTCTCAAAAATTAAACCTAAAATTACCAGAGCACCCATCATTTCATCCCTAAGTATATGACTCTGAGAAATGAAAATAAACATCCAAACAAATCTTGTACTTGACAGTTTATTGCAATATCATAATAGCCAAAAGGTAGAAATAAACCAAATATCCATTAGGGATAAATAGATAAATAAAATATGTTTTATCCATATAAGTCCACATTATTTGGCCATAAAAACAAATAAAGTATCCATATATATTACAACATGAATGTTCCTTAAAAAATTATGCTAAGTGATTGAAATCAGTTGCAAAGATATTCATATGTAAATCTAGAAAAGGAAGTCTATGGATGGTAAACTTAGAGGTTGCCTAGAACTGTGGCTCTGAATTAGAAGATGGGAAGATAGAGAAATGATAGCTAAAGCACACGGGGGATTGGTTTTGAGGTGACAAAAAAATTGTTTTCAAAGATTGTGGTGCTTATTGCATTTATCAGTGGATATATTAAAACCCAACAAATTGTACTCATTAAAGGGATGCATTGTATAATATGTGTATTCTATCTCAATAAAGCTTTCAAATAAATAAATGAATTCAGAGTTTTGAAACAATGTGTTAAATATATTGAGTTTCCAGGTACCTCCCACATTTCCAGAACCTTTATTGCTTTTTCTTATATTGGTGATAATAGGAATTCAGTTGCCTTAGGGATGCCATAGCTCTTTACATTTCAAAATCTCTGGGCACACACTCAAAAACCATTTAAATTTCCCAGCCTGCAATGCTCAGTCATTGAGGTGTAACTCTGAACCAGGAGGTCATGATTCCATGCCCTGTCAGGGCAATCAATGATTCTCTTTCATCATTGATGTTTCTATCTCTCCCTCTCTCTCCTCTCTGAAATCAATAAAAAAATGTTTTTACAAAAAATTTAAATAAATTTCCCTGTATTGTAAAATGTACACCTGAGAGTTTTATTGAACACATCTTACAATTTATGGTTAGTCGGGGCCTGGGCTTCGAGGTTCCAACTTCCCAGCAGAATCAAGACCTTGGGCGGCCATGAGACTCGTTTGCTAAAATACCACATGCTTGGAGGTGCAGAAGGGACTGGTAGAAGACTCAGTGCTGACAGCAAGAATCAAAATGGAGCCAGAATCTTTATTGGATACTAGAGGCACCGATTCATGCACTGGTGGGGTCCCTCAGCCTGGCCTCCACCCTCTCGAAATCCAGGACCCCTCAGGGGATGTAGTAGGGCACGAAGTAGCAGGTGGCCCCTGTGAGGAACTTGAGCTCCAGCCATTCACGCTGCTGCTATGGGAGCACACTGACCACCAGGGGGCAGAGCCTCAGGGATGGCGCCCGGGGACCCCCCGACGCCAGGAGGTGGTGAGCGTGGGATCCGGGGGTCCGGGACAGGGACGGGGGCTGCTTGGAACCGGCTGTTACCAGACCTGGCCTCCGCGGTCAAGTCCAGATTCTGCGGACCCGAGTGCCCCGAGTTCGGCTGGGACCGCGGTCCTCCCGGGCTCGCAGCGCGGGGCTGGGCCGGCAGCCGGGACCCCGGTGTCCCTTCTTGGGGGAATATTATTTATCAACTAGAGGCCCAGTGCACGAAATGTGTGCCCGGTGGTGGGGTCCCTCAGCCTGGCCTCCACCCTCTCGAAATCCAGGACCCCTCAGGGGATGTAGTAGGGCACGAAGTAGCAGGTGGCCCCTGTGAGGAACTTGAGCTCCAGCCATTCACGCTGCTGCTATGGGAGCACACTGACCACCAGGGGGCAGCTCCTACATTGAGCATCTGCCCTCTGGTGGTCAGTGCGCATCATAACAACCTGCCAAGTCATTTCAGTGGCTTAGGCTTTTATATATATAGACTAGAGGCCCCTTGCACAAAGATTTGAGCAATAGGCCTTCCTTCCCCTGGCTGCCAGCACCGGTTTTCCTCCGGCACCCGGGACCCTGGCCTTTGGTCGGGCTGCAACAGAGAAGGCAAGCCTCGAGGCTAGGCTTCTCAGCTCCAGCCGCAGCAGCAAGGCTTGGCTTCTCTGTTCCAGCCGCAGTGGAGAAGCCCAGCCTCTTCAGTCTTCAGTCTTCGCTCCACCCCTGTGTATGCAAATTAACCCGCCATCTTTGTTGGGTTAATTTGCATGCTCACCCTGATTGGCTGGTGGGTGTGGTGGAGTGATGACCAATTTACATATTTCTCTTATTAGTGTAGATGGTGAGGTCATTTTTAAATGGGTTTGTAAACAAGGATCACTGTTGGATGGATGGCCTCCCAGCCTAGGTCAACCCCTGACCCAGGGAGGCCTTCTGATCCTCTGGTCCCAGGGGCTTGGTCTCGCCTGGACGCCCTTCCTGCTCGGGACATGGGCATCGCTCCGTCTGGAAACGGCAATCCCCTGCGCACACCTGTGTCCCACGTTCAGGAAGACAGCACAGACCCTCTAGGGTCAGGAACAG